TATTATTTTTATTATTTTATTTTTATGTTTTTAATATAATTATTATTATAATATAAATTATATTTTAATAATTATTAAAATACAAAATTATTTTAAATAATATTTAAATTTTAAAATAAATTAAATTAAATTATTATTAAGGTAGTGAAGATTGTTTTTAATAAAAAAGAAAAGAAAATGAAAAAAATATTTATTAAAGTTAAAAATAAAGTTTTGAAAAAGTTGGAGGTGCAGGATGATGATGAGATGTCAGAAGGATAAAATTGGAATTTTTGGAGGTGCAGGATGAGATCTTGGAGGTGTAGGATGAAACACTCTTAATAGTTTATTATAAGACACCGTATTCTATTAACTAATAAACGATCTTAGATATTTAATATATAAATTTGTATAAGTTATACGATTTTATATTTAAAATAAATATATCATCATTAACTATAGCTTTTATAGAAAATTAAGTCTTGTAGGAATCAAATTAAGGGTTAAATATGTTTTTAGTCCCTAAACTATTGGTCGTTTCTGGTTTTCGTCGCTCTTTCAAAGTAAGGTACAGTTTGATCCTCATTCTTTTCGAAACGTTCGTTTTAGTCCTCGAAAACTAAACACTGTTTAAAACCAAAATTCCGAGGACTAAAACGAACGTTTCAAAAAGAATGAGGACCAAATTGTACCTTACTTTGAAAGAGGGACGAAAACCAGAAACGGTCAATAGTTTAGAGACTAAAAACATATTTAACCCTCAAATTAAAGGCAATAAGAAGTTTTCTTTGTTTGCTTTAAGAATGCAATACAGACAATACAAATAAATAAAAATCAAATAGAAAGAAGGGAAATAAAAGGACAAATAAGAAAGAAAAATGTTATATATGGATGAACATGAATGAGAAATAAAAGTTACAAAAATCTGTCTCCACTTGTTTGAATGAATAGAAAAAAAATTGAAGTGAGTTATATAAGGTTATTTTTATATTAATTAGCATTATTTTCTTCGTTCTTTCTTACAAAACTGTTTAATTTTTTACATTGTAAAAAATATATTTAATTTAAAACTGTATATTTAATTTAAAACTATTGAATATAATAAAAAACTATATATAAAATTAATCTCTCTGTTTAATGTTTAATATACAAACCGTGTCTTCTATCCAAAATATAAATAAAAAATAATATCAAATTAATTAAAAATAAATATAAAATAAAGATAATATATCTAAAAAAAATCAACATTTATAAATATTATCCTTCCAACAAGTCTCCTTCGTAAATTTCCATCAAAACAATCAGAAAATACTCAAAACAACTCTTAATGTTTTCCTCCCTAATAAATAAACACAAACATGGGGTTAGGGGACAAAATCACAGTT